GCTCTGCTGGATTCACATGTGACTGTAAAACAACATTCTTGTGTCGTTTTTATTCACTGTTTGAAGGTCGTGTTGGTTTTATTTTATTTGACGTGCCGTGAATGAAACGGATCAAAAATGGGTCCAGGAATCAAAATGAAAACAGATGGAACAGAGTTGTCTGTTTTGGATTTATAAGGATGGATTAAAGAAGCCTGTGAGTGTGTGTGAGTGTGAGACTATGTGTGTGTGCGTGACTGAGTGTGTGTGTGTGTGTGAGACTGAGTGTGTGTGTGTGTGTGATACGCTTACAGTCGCGTCCGGCTGCTGGGGGTCGGATCATACAGGCTGACGGTCACAGTGCCCCGCGGAGGTCAGTGTGACGGCCAGAAGCCTCCGTGGCCGCCGGACGAGGAGCTGAAGGGGGAGCGAGCGGACGTTTAACTTTTGCACACTTGGACTCGATGAGGACGACGTGAGGACGCGAGAGAGAGGCTGCAAGTGGGTGAGTGTTTACTTCAGATCTATTAGCTGAAGTCTCTTGGAGAGGTTCCACGGAGGTCTGGCCACCAATTGTCTTTTCTTTAATTCTTTAAACGTAAGCCCTCACTAGTCTTGTCAGGTGACTGGGCAGAAACTACCGGCATGTTGGGGATGTTTGTGATTTAACCTCCAGTCCTGACTCTTCCCGCCCTCCCAGCCCCGTACCCTCCCTGGCGCGATGGCGTTCCTGCAGCAGATGCGCTCCCCTCGCTTCTCCTTCATCCAGACGGTGGCGTCCCTCCTGCTGAGCACCGTGGCCCTCATGTCCTCCTACTGGTGCGTGGGCAAGCAGAAGGTGCCCAAGCCGCTGTGCTCGGCCACCAAGCACAGCAACTGCATCCCCGTCCCCGGCGTCTCCAACTCCTCCCGGATCCAGTTCTTCTGGGAGACCGGCGACGACCGCTTCGTCTTCCCCACCTTCCACACCGGCCTGTTCATCACCTGCGAGGAGAACATCTACACGGACGAGTGGGGTGAGAAAAAGTAGGCGTAGGAATGCTTTTATGATCAGAGGGTTCTTCTAGAAGCCCAGACGTGGCGTTCGTGACCCGGGAGAGGATTAAACAGGTCGAGAAAACTAATAAATGACCGAACAGGAAGAAGTCTAAAGAGACGCGCTGGTCGTACGTGTTTCTGGTTTTCAATCAGTATCACTGTGAGGGATTTCATCAACATGCCGCTGATTATATGAGCTGATCGGGTTGTTTGTGCTGTAGAGGATATTCCCAAGGTGACACGAGGACCAGCGCCGATACCAGTTACGTCATAACTGTGGCACTAGTCCGACAGGAGACCAAGTAGGTCACAGGAAGAGAATAAAACAAAGCCAAGGTGGAGGTATGAGGTGAGACGTCAGGTGCGTTGGTTTGCATCCCTACGTTGTGTGTTTGTGTGTTTGTGTCTCTGCTCGGCACAAAGAGGATTATCATCAGTGTGCGGTCTGCTGGCGGAGATTTAGACTTCAACAGCATGACTCAATTATGGATTAAAACCCAGAGAGAGAAAGCTTAATGGGATTCACAAACATCGGGTTTTTGGGGGGTTTCGCCGTCTCATTTGCTGATTCGCAACAGATTTTTTTTTAAAGGAGCGACTCTGAATGACGCCAAATAACTCCTGTTTGGTCAATAAAGTCAATCAGGCAGCAGTTTGTAATTAATAGTTTGGATTAAAGTGTCGGGTTTGGCACTAATCTGCCCAATCAGGTATTACTTTAAAGTATTTTTAACGTTGAAATTGTTATTTTTAAACCTACTCTACACATACAGACTGCTTTTCCTAAACGTGGCTTTGATTCGTATGTTAACATCTGATCCCGACATCCACAGATTAAAAATTATTCATCTAACCTTAGATTCAAACAGATGATGCATTCGTTTCTGCTGTCAGTTGTGAGTCAGTCATTAAGGTCCTTGGCTGAGAGAAAGCTGCACATCGCTGCTGCTGTAACGACCATAAAGTCTTAACGGAGGGTTTTCAAGTACAACGAATCATCAGGAAGTACGAGCAGCTCCACTCACACAGGGTGTGGTAGGAAGACGTGTCCTTGGCCCCGCCAGGAATTCAAGAACCACCACCAAGAACCATCCTGATGAATCTGAGCAGTTCTGGCAAAGTCGGTCTCCTTAAACGTCGACCCAGGAGGACTTCACCTCTCAGAGACAGACACACAAACAGCTCTTGGTCGTCAGTTCTGTGATCAGATGAAACGAACATTGTTTGGACTCAGAGAACGCCTCCACAGTGGTGGGAACTTTGAGGGAGATTTTCAGCCTCTGG